GAAGGAAGGAAGGAAGGAAGGAAGGAAAGAAAGAAAGAAAGAAAGAAAGAAAGAAAGAAAGAAAGAAAAAGAGAAAGAGAGAGAGAGAAAGTATTTTAGCCAGTTTCAAGCAACGGAGAGTTTTAGAACTGGTTTGCTCTCCAGGATCTCTGGATTGGCCACAGCTCCCAGTCCTTATGATCCCCATTGAGTGACACCTTCCTGTGTATAGGATTAATAGGGCCTTTTGAACTGACATTTTGGGAGAAGACAATGGGATGTCTTTCTTTTTCAAGAAAAAAACCTCTGGCTAAATGACATCATGACCTTCAGACAGATTAGAAAGTCATACTTTCACTCTGAACAAAAGATGCAACTCAGCCCATTTACAGCCATCAACCAGAGTCTTGTAGTTTCAGCTCTAGGTTGTGTTAGCTTCTCATCATGCAAGAGAGCTCCATTCCTAGTGATGTCCAAGCAGGTTAGTATTTATCTAGCTACCTAACAGATATCAGCCTAAAGTTACCAAACACTCATTGTTAAATTCCATCCGGCCTCTTTCATGGGAAATGGCTAGGACTGGAAAATATCAAATATATAGTAGATTCAATAGTATCTAAGAAAATCCAGCTTACATGATAGATTGAAGCTAAGAAATATGATTTTATCTTACAGTTATACCAATATATCTTTAGTATCTGTTAGGCCTCTATTACACAGGAATAATTTTAGGCAACTTGTATAGTGGTATTTGCTCCACCCATGACCTTGGGCTATCCGGCCCAAAAGAGACAGTGCTTCTTGCCTGTGTATGTGACTTCTTAAGAGGAGAGAGAGGGGTCACGTTCTGCTTCTTCTTGGCATGATTGGACACATGACGGCCAGGTGCATTCCCTCCCGGGCAGAACAGAGGATGACTTCAGCTGTTTACTCGGTTCTGTATTCATGAGTGTATTTCCCCAATTTATATCTTAATAAATCTCAATTACCCATTAAACAGACTCACATGAGTTGATCTTAACAAACTTTAGTATCCATTAAATCTGTTTTAAGTTCCATTTTTTTTTCCAGAATCATTTTATAAACCTTTTTAAAAAAATATGTTTACATTTTGTCCAAATCTTCACTTGCTTATATATATATCTCCTATTTTAGGACCACAGTTATCTTCAAGGGGAAAAAAACTTTTGGCAGGCTTAACAAAGGCCTACTTTGGTGAGCTGTTCTTCACACAGGGCAGGGCAAAAAGCAGAATATTGTCTTAGGTGAGACCAGCTTTTTGATATGTCTTAGCTAAATTTGTTATATGTAAAGCTACTTTATGATCCACCTTTGTGAGGTGATTTTTTAAATATTTTATTTGTCTTTACTTGATGTTTAAGCATTTAAAAAACTATGATCAAATAGTGATCCACTTATTATTACACATACATGTGTGTCTTTTTCCCAGTGAGTGACACTCTATGAAAGAGGATCATTCCAATTAATATTTTATACTCCACATTTTATACTGGTATAGTTCTAAATTTATAAAAAGTTGAGCAAGTTGTAGTGGCTCATACTTGTAATCACTGTACTCAATAGTATTTTTATTAAAAGGGTCATGTTATCAAATGACCAAGCCAACTACCTCACAAATATACATAGAGGACCTCCTAAATATAACAAGCCTCAGTTCCCTTACCATTGCCTCTTATTGGATTAGACCTCCCCTTTAATGATGGAGTATAATCTCATTCTGTCTAATTGCAATAAATCTGGCTCTCTGTGGTCACCTTTTTATATACTATTTAATGACTGCTATTTTTAGACTAAGAACTTCCTGGACCTCAGGGTCTTGCAACAATACAAAGAGAAAGACAGGAGGATGTTGTTGGATCTCCTGGTCCACCCTCCTCACTGTGGACAGGCTGGCATGACCAACTAGTATTTCACCCTAAATCCAACTTGGTGTATCTCTCTATTGAAGTGGAATGAATCTTTATTATTTAAAATAGTATGGCAACTGTAATGCTTGAGAGATAAGCCAACACGGATGTCTTTGATTTGAGGATGAGGGCTTCTATTCAGCCACTCAACATCAACCCCAAATGGACCTTGCTCTACTACTAGGCTTTTTGCCCTACTGATTGGGTTCTAGTATTCTCTCCCTTTTACTGTTCCTTAGTTTCTGGCTCCTCCTTTCTGGGCTTCTGACCTTACCAGAAATGACTCCTTTTCCCAGGGTTAGGCTCTTCGTTCTCCACAACAATTGCTCATGGTACCAAAGTTCTCAGTACTGGGTCTGGGACTCCCTAGTGGGCTTGGATCTGAGTCCTTAGCCTTGATCCATTAGTTTCCTTTGGTGGAAAGATGTCAGTTGTGGTCACTGTTGTGACAGGAGCCACATTTCCAAAAGGTGTTGGGAACTGAACTCAAAGCTTTTGCAAAAGCAATATATACTCTTAACCATTAAGCCATCTCTCAAGCCCTGTCAATTTTCTCATTTTTGTGTATAAGCTGGGACTTATACACAAAAATAAGATAACAGATGATGCTGTAGAAGGAAACAGCCAAGCTCCTCTGTAGCTTGATAATCTTGTTGTAGACGGTTAAGATGTGTCTTTGCCAAGGTGCCTTCTGATTGGTTTAATAAAGTGCTGAATGGCCAATAGCTAGGCAAGAAGAGGTTAGATGGGACTTCTAGGCAGAAACAGAGAGAGAGAGAGACAGAGAGACAGAGAGACAGAGAGAGGAGATGAATCTAGGGTGGGGGAGATACCACAGGACTGAGAGGGAGTAGGAGATGCAAGTTGGAAGAGAGGTATAAAGCCACAAGACAAAATGTAGATTAATAGAAATGGGTTAATTTAAGTTATAAGAGCCATTGGTACAAGCCAAAGCTATAGGCCAAATTTTTATAATTAATAATAAGTCTCCATGTTGTTTTGGGAGAGCTGGTGGCCCAAAGAAAAATCGGACTACACCTCTCTCCCATTCCAGACCCAAATAACCCAAGTTCTAAGCTCTCAGCACATAACTGCCCCAATACAAGGTGGGGTATTGATTCCATGGATTTCCTAATGCAAGGCTAAAATCAACCTGAGTTACAGCCTTATATCTCATCTAATACCATCAGTAAGCTGCTGCACTTACTTATCCCTTTGCTCTAAAGTTTATAAAACTTCTTTGTTTTGTTCTGTGGGTTGCTGTTGGATCCCCTACTCCAGCCTCTCCACTAGACGTTACCAAAGGATACTTCACCAGAGAGAAAGGTGCTAAGAATTTTATTAGTCTTCTAAATCTTATGCCACATCACCTGAAAAAAAAAAAGGACCCCAGATCTCCTCCAGATGGAAGAAATAACTTCTGTCTTGTCCTCTGGAGTAACAAAATGGCCTGAGCAAGGGAACATATACCTCACTAAACTCAACATGTTAGAAATACCTTATCTCACACCAGCTGGCAACCAAAGAAAATCACCTGAGCAAGGTCTCTAGATGGCTAGTCAGACACTAAAATGGTAGGAATTAGAGGACAAACATAATCTTCTTTGTTTTGCAGTTTGGAGGTAAACAAAAAACCAAATCCTAAAAACTACTATGTGCTACTTTACGTGATACAGTTTTTATGAAATGTAGAATATTATATCCTGTTGATGTTTAATACTCTGAAAACCAAATACTGTTCCCTCCACTAACATACCACTTGAAAGCCAATGATGTGAGAAGGAAAGACAAGAAGGTCTCTACTTTTAAAACAGAAAAATTCTCAGTAGCCTCTGAAAACCAGTTCCCTCGAACCCCAACCACAGGTTCAGCTTGCCACAGGCAACCATGCCTCCTCTTTCTAAATAATCATGACTCCTCCACAGAGAACCTAAGAGAGCAAGAGAGCCTTGCTGCCATGACTTGGGGCAAACAGCTTTGTTCCCTGACCTGGGCCACCAAAATCTGTATCGGATTCAGATGTTTGTGTTACCATTGCTTCAAGTGACCAAAATGTCGTGGGTCAGGAGCTGGTGGAGGAAAAAGATTTTTTTCTGTCTTACAGGAAATCAAAGTCATGACAAGCATCCGTGGGCACATTGGACAAAAGGCAGAGCATCTACATGTTTGGTTTGCAGATGACATGTGTCTTTTATCATCCTCTCCACACACCAGTTTGTTTCAGCCTCCTGGGACCCATCCTTGCGTTTTATTTCCGACAGAATCATTAGTTTTCTACACATTCATTCTGGTGTTTTTGTATAGTTTGAATCTGAAATTTACTCCACAGGCCTGTGTATTTGGACATGTGGCCTAGAGCTGGTGACCTCATTTTAAAGTCATGTGGCCTGGGTGGCTCAGATTAGTCACTAGAGACAGGCCTTTATTAGTTATAGTCTTGCCCCGCTTCTGTCCCATAGCCTTTGGTTCCTGCTCTTAACTCCACATTAGAGGCACCAGACACCCATTCCTGGGGCTCCAGAAACCATGACTTCCCCATTATGTTGGACTATGTCCTCTGAAACTGGGAACTAAAGTCTCTGCTCCCCGAGGCTGCTTCTCTTAAATATTCTGTTACAGCAAGAAGAAAAGTAATCAACATAGAACATTGATGCTGAGAAGCAGAACTGTTGCTTTGAGAAACATGATGACGTAGTTCGCCAACCATTGGGTCTTGTTGATGTGCAGACTCAGGAGGGGTCTGAAGCAGGAAGACAGAGAAGCCCTTTGAAAATCACGCCAATCCAGTGTATCTCTCTCTCTCTTAAAAGGGTAAAACAATGAGAAACTTCACCCTGAAAGATTCTTTGCAAATGTGCGTCAATGATGGGAATGCTAACACATAATTATAAACTTAAGATTAGCAAATCACAAATCAAACCTGACAAGTCAGTGGATTCAATTTGCAATTCAATGTTATGAGATTTAACTCTTTAAGTTGAACGTTGGTGTTTGGTTTCAAAATAGTCTGGATTTTGGTAAAGCATCAGTAGGATATATTATTCTACATTTTGTAAAACCTACATTACATAAAGTAGCATCAGAACAGCCATACATGCTTAATATCAGTTTAATGATATTTTTGTGATTTGACTGTCATTGACCAGTATCCTTATATTATAAAATTAAATATCGAAAAGTTTAAAATTCAAGAATTATTGTGCAAAATTAATTTAAATTTAATATTAGGAATACATGGAGGAAACTCTGAAAAATGAACATCAAGCAAAAAACCCCAAAGCATAAGCCTACATGAATGTGATCAGAATCATTATTTTTAATTGCTTGTGGCCAAAGGCAGTTGTTCATTGTTCACTAAAAGTTTTATGTTTTAAGTAGATGTTCCCAGAAACTCTTCAAAAGCTTTTAGAAATAGTTCCCTTGCAACTTTTGAACTCATGATAAATTCCCAGGCAGTCAAAGATGCCGATCCTAGAAAAGATAAAATGAATCCATGTCAGCTCCTGAAGACATTTCTTAGTTCCATTAGGCAATAAGCATTGGTCAAATTTATTTCATTTGCTTCCTATCAATTAACATTAAAATCATCAGTTCACAAAGAAAATTTGATTTCTCTGATAGTATTATCATTTTGCAATACCTGACCTGAAAGTTTTGTGTCATGCTTTCTAAGTGGTGGAATCATAAATGATGAGGAAAAGTATATGTGGGATGATCTTGTATTATGGGTCATAGCTTTTAACCATTTCCATAATCATACTAAATTCATTAAATAAAATATTGCATGTCTACAAGAAAATGAGATGACTCTAATACAAATCTTTCAAATATTATCCACCAACTGGAGATTGGCCTACTGTTTATTGTGTGAAGGAAAGCTGCCTGCTGACTGACAGTATTATACCACAATGAAGGATGAAGTGAGAAGAAATAGATCAACTAACTGGCGCACTAACATATTTAGTGGATCTGATAGTCTAATGCCAAAGTTTTTCACAAATTTGACCATAATTCACTCATGTCTAATTTATTTCATTTATAATTTAGGGACTCAAAAAAAATTCCCTTCACAAAAATAGTAATAGCATATATGTTTAGTTTATCTCAAGGTCCCAGGGCATAAGTATAAAATGAGATGACATGGTGATCTTCAAACACTTATTTAAGGAAGACTATTTTTCACTCTGCTTTGCCATTATGGAGTAAGGTCTTCTTTCTTGGCTAGTAGTATTGGATTAAAAGCATCCAATGAGTCAGGTAGATAGTGACTTCATTAAGGATGGCAAATTTTCTTTTAACTCATTTGTGTTCTTTAGACGAGTAAAGTAGAATGTATAAAAAAGAGAAGTTTCCATGAGTGAAACAATGATTGTATGTGAGCATGTGGATTTTATGCTTTATATTTCACCTGATATTTCAGATGTCAAAGTTCATTGTGGCATCCAAATGAAAAGAATTGTACACGTAAAAGAATTGTAGTTGCTCAATGCTCTTACCATCTATCAATAGTAATAACTGCTAAGGAAATGAAAAATATACCAACAAGAATGCATACATTTTTATGTAGGCTGACTGAATATATTTCTCCTTAAATTAGTTTATGTCCACTTCCAATACATACAGTCCTAATTTTGTCTGGTATTCTTTAAACGTTCTTACCTGTGAGTCTATCAGTATCACCAAGAGCTGCGAGTGACACTAGAACTGTGTTCTGAAGAGCAGTGAAGTCGGTAATAAAAGGGGCTATGTCAGTGTCAACAAGAACACGAGGCGGCAGACCCTTCTGAAAGCTGTATGTTCTACTCATGGTTGTAGGGAGGTAGGACGCAGCTAAGTAATCTACAGCAATAGACCAGTTTTCCTCAAACTTGACTTCTTGGCCAGAATAATAGGCATATCTAAAAGACAGATAGACAAAATTATCAATTGTAGTTAGTTTCCTCAGAATTTAAATCTCACTTGGCAGAAATCATCCAGTACCAAGAAATAAAATCCAAAGATTATTTTGAAAGGAAGTTCAGTAGTCCCATAAATTTGGGCTTGTCTTTCCGGAACTGAGTAGCTAGTTAAATAAAATTTAAATCTAAATCTGTGAAGGGTTATCCAATTAGTTACCTCTTTTTAATATTTTACTTTCCATTTATGTCATTCCCTAGGCACACTATACTTGACATGTAATAAACATGTTAAAATAATATAGTTTGGCTATATAACAAAAAATAGGAACAAGGCCTGGTATCACATGCTTACAACTCACAACTGGGATGTGAAGCAGCAAGATCATGGGGCCAAGCTCTTTTTCAGCTGCCAGTTTGGGATACATGAGATCCTTTTTTTTTTTTAAACAGATAAAATGAACAGAAAAAGAAACAAAGAAAAAATACATTGTGCTTGTTAGTGTTTATTAACCTTGAGTTAGAAAACGAATATGCCAAAAGTTATTTCTGCTATCTGAGAGGTTTAACTTGTATACAATTTATATTTTTTAAAAAAGAAAGGAAGCTTTTAAGGAGAGTAAAACAAGAGACATAAGGAACGTTCTAGAAAGGGTGATAGAAATGTCATGCATTTTGCTTTAGGTGGTGGTTTGATCAGTGCTTGCAGCGGCCAATGCTCATTCAGCTGAATAAATACCTAAATCTGTGTGCATTGTTACATGTCAGCTGTACCTTAGTTCATAAAATCAACATGTGATGACTGATTCTAAAATGTCACTTCCTAAGGTCAGCCTCACCTTGACATAAACACAAGTGTCTTTGTCCTCTCAAATGGGAAACAACAGGAGCAGCTGACTTTAACATGCACAGTCGCTGGGTCTTGACTTCACTTTTGAACAAGGGACTGAAAAATGTCTATTCTCCAGGACAGCTGAGCTCAAGTGGAAGGATAAAGTGTTGGCCACAGGCTGTGAGTAGTTAAAGAGTTGATTAGTCAATAAGCTGGACGGTTTTCTTAGAGGCGTGCTCACTGTACAAAACCTCAAAAGGACTCTGGTTTTCTAAATGCTGGTCTTTAAATGTAATAGAGAACCAAGTTAGCCAGATAGCGTGGGGAGCCTCTGAGACATGAGCCACCAGAACAGAGAATCAAGGAGAAAATAAACCAAAGCAAAGGACAGTTGAACAAAGGGAGTCCAACTGTTTTCAAACTCCCCCCAAAAAACTAAAAATTCGGAGGGAAATGACCAAGATTTTGAAAATGACTTCCCATGTTCCTGTATTTACCTAAATCCTCAGACAATGAGGATAAAATAATAAAGGATATGCGTATGTAAAGTGTCTCAAACATTTTCACCTACTCTCTAACCATCCTCAGTTGACCAGAGCATGAGACCTAGGCAGGCAAAGAAGACCAAGAAAGATAAAGAAATGCAATGGGAGTCATAACAGAGAGGGAAGACAGAGAGAGTCCTTAGAAATGAGGGCATATCGCAGCCTCAGTGTCCATTTTCCTGACAGATGGGTGCAAATGAGTTACTCTGAAGCAGACCTCTCATTACAAGAAAGTCTATGGACAGAATCCGTGATGCTTTGAACAAATGAGGACGTTGTTCTTTAGTTTGTCTGTTCAGTGACCAGCAACGTTATAGATATGAAGTATTAAGATATGAAAATCACAGATGAGGATGAACTCAAAGGAGAATAAGACAGTGAGGGAAAGTATCAAGGCCAAAGATGCTCAAACGGGAACCCTAACCCAGTGGGCCCCAGAGTAATGCATTTCCCCCAGGAATCTCTTGCTGGGGGGAGAGAGGCTGTAAATCAGGGCCTGGCCTAACAGGACAGACTCAGCTATCATGGAGAGATTTCATGCAATTCTGAAAGCGTATCTCTCAGTGAAGCTGGCTTATGTGTGCTTCCTGGCTTTCTTTCATTCTTTCTTCAAAGTGGCAACACTGCCACAGGAAATGTGGAAGGACGCCGAGACTTTTGCCCCGTTTTGCCAAAGTGTACATAAATTTGTTTTATCTCCCACCTCCGCTTCCTAATTTCTTTCGAAACCTGGGGAAACTAAGGTGGTAGGTTTGATAGATTTATGTAGCCAGTGACAATATACGTAGCGATTTCAACTACAAAAATGTAAGCTCCAAATACCAACAGAGATAGCAGCCTGGACTACTCTATCCAGAGAACACTGCTTACACTTACGTGTAAGAATCAGATAAGCTAAATCATGACTTCCTATGGCGAGGTTTCAAAAGCTGATACCTGAAACCGTAAATAAAACAGAAAGTGCTATGCCAGTGTATTTGAAGAAAACCATGGCACTTGCAAGCAGGGCTTTGTGGCAGATGACTATAATCTCAGCTACTCTAGAAGCTGAAGCAGGAGGAGAACAATTTCAAGTCCACACTGTGGTACAGGCTGACATCAAGACCAACCCGGTCAGGTCAATGTAGCTGGCCAGACACTGTCTCAAGATAACCATTAAATAAAAGGGTGTGGGATGGAGTCGCAGCTCCCAGGGAGGGCTTGCCTTGGGATGCATGAGACCCTGAGTTGGTTCAATGCCCACCACCATAAAAAAAAAAAAAACATCCAAAGGAAGGAAAAGTAGAAAGAAGAAAGAGGGAAGGAGGAATAGAGGGGAGGAAACAGTATATACAGAAAGAGTGAGCAATCAGTGGTGATAGTGGTAGTCCGGGTGGAGATAGGGCCCCCACATTACTTTGTTGTAAGATATTCCACATTGTATAAGACAGCAGCTTTCAGGCTGTGCCTTGCTTCAAGCGATTTCATTTTACAAGACAGGAGTTTATTTCATTTTGAGTAGAAATTGGAGGCAGAATAAATCTGCATCCTGTTTGTAAAGCAAACAATCACCTCTGTCCAGCCGCAACCAGGAGGCTCAGACTGATAGTAACTCTTTATGCATAAAACATCACCACTGACATACCAACTTAGGTCGAGAAAACATGAACACATGGGCATCTCAACGCCATATCCAGAAACATGCCAGAAACACTAGGCATGTAAAATTATTGAACATGCCAAACCACCAAATGATAAAAAAAAAACAAAAACAAAACAAAACGAAAACTCAGATCAGGATCATATACAAGGAAAGCAAATTCCTGGTACAGCATGTTGATACCGCTGATGCTTTAGACACACGCATTATGGGACTGTTCCTGATTTCAGTTCAGCAAGGTACCAGCTGCTTACATGAACCACTCAAGTGACCAGGCTGGCCCTGTTCCTCACCCTGAGTCTCCCTTAGCTTTGAACCAGCTCTGCTTCTGCAAACCTCCAACAGCTCGATGGGTGGGTTCCTCGGAAGTACAGAAACTAACTCTCTTTGCCGCTCTATAGGTATGCACCTGAAGGATAACACATGATCTGGGAACGAACATTAGTAACTAAGATTGGAGTTAAAGAAGCCGTGACTGTCAAAGGCCGTAACGTTCAAGCAAACTTAGTATACATAGTACATTACAGGAACAAAATTGGCCTACCATAAAATTTAGTGTTACTTGATACAGTCTGACATTGTGGAAAAAACATAAATGTGTCCTTTTAAGTTTAGGTTTTTTTGAAATAGTCTGAATAGAACTGAGATTTCTTTGTTTTTTAATTATTTCTTTTATTTTTTGAAGTTAAGATATATCATTTCTCCCTTCCCGTTCCTCCCTCCAAGCTTTGCTAATATAATCCTTTTAGCTCTCTTACAAATTCACGGCCTTCCCTTGGGTCAGTTGTTTCATACACACACACACACACACACACACACACACACACACACACACACACACACATCCCTAAATACATAAATATAACCTGCTCAGTCTGCATAGTGTTAGTTGTACATATATTTTTAGAGCTGATCATTTGGTATTGAATAACCAGTTGGTGTGCTCTTCCCTGAGGAAGACTATTTTTTCCTGCTCAAGCTGAGTTCTCTTAATTTTAATTTTAATTAATTAATTAATTTATTTATTTATTTTTGGTTGTTTCAAGACAGGGTTTCTCGGTGTAGCCCTGTCTGTCCTAGAACTCACCCTGTAAATGGCTAGCCTTGAATTCAGCAATACATCTGCCCCTCCCACACCCCCCCACACCCCCCGAAAGTGCTGGGATCCAAGGTGTGTGCCACCACTGCCTCTGGAGGGGCACAGAGGTCTTGCTTAGATTCAGCTACCTTTCACTACCCCTGAGGTGGGACTAGATATGAAACAGGGCTTTTTGCTCAGTTCAGTGACTTCAGGGACAGTTTATATCCCCCAAAGATGGGGAGTTTCCTCATTAAAGGAAGTGAACCTACAGAGCCTGCGGGGAGTCACAAGGAAAATGAACATTAGACTTTCTGTCCACTAATTATACAATATTAAGTGCCAGACTCAACAGAAAAGACCCAGACTCGGTACCAACAAAATGGAAGTTAGTTGAAGTTATGTTACATTGACAAATTGAATGGTTTCTTTTATTATTCTTAATATTAAATAATACCCAATTATTATTTTGTTAAATGAATGGTAGCATTTTAAAAACTGTGTGTAAAGATTTATTAGCACTAAAGAAAATGCTAAGGGAAAGAAAATCCTGAAGTTCAGGAAGTAGATTACAATAATCAAAAACAATGTTTTGCTATAATTAGTGAAGATAGGATCCTTATAGTTACATAATTTAATAACCAAAAATTTCATGATGTTTGATTTTAGAACAACTTTTAAATGAATCTGACCTGTTTTAAGTGCAAAGAGTTTGTTTCTATAGAACCTTAAGAGAAAGAAAATATATCTAAAAAGTAAAACCTCTAGTCACTATAAATTTTAAAGGTTTTAAATACTCATGATTCCTATAGTCAGAGTTCTATTGTTTGGGGGCCTGGAGAGATTGTGCAGTGGTTAAAAGCACAGGCTGCTCTCTCAGAGAACCCAAGTTTTTTCCCAGAGGAGCTGGGAACCCACATGGTGGCTCACAACCATCTGTACAGTCCCAGGAGATCCAATGTCTTTATATGGTCTTTAGAGGTACCAGGCATGTAAGTGTGCACAGAAACATACATACAGGTAAAGCATTCGTACGAAGAAAAATAAATTTTATAGTTTGTATTCTTCTATTGATTATTGATTTATTTTTACTCACATGAAAATGTTCTAAATGTCGAAAAGTAACCTATAACAAATATTGTAACTTGACCACCACGATTCACAAGGTAATGTAATCCCCTTTTCTTAGATGTTATGTGTGTGCATTAGTACATCTGCCTACGTATGTGTGTGTGTAGGGGAGTGTGCATGCATGTGGAGTGTGCATCTGTGTAGGGGAGTGTGCATGCATGTGGAGGTCAGAGGACAAACTTAGGTGTGATCTACCTTTGCTTTTCCTTTGAAATGGGGTCTCTCAATGGCCCTGCACTCACCACAAAGCTTGGGCTGGCCGGTGAGTTCCGGGAATCCTCCCGTTTTTACCTCCCTAGCATGAGTATGATAAATACTTACCACGGTGCTTGGCTATTTTTACACGGGTTCTGGGAAATGAACTCACGTCTTCGTGCTTGCATAGAAGGGGTTACCACCTGTGTATTTTCCCAGCTCCTGTTTCTCAGATATTTTGTCTCCCCTTTCCCAAAATATATTCTGTTTGTCCTTTACCACTACAATCATCCATGATTACACTAGTTGTTAATTATTAAGATTAAAAATCACAATCATTCTAAAAGAAAATGAAAAAAAAATGAATTAAGACTGTGCTGGTTAGTTTTAGTCAACTGGACACAGCCTGGACATGCCCAGGAAGAAGGAATTTCAGTTCAGGACTTGCATCCATCAGATTGGCCTGCGTGGCTGTGGTAGTGAAGCGTTATCATGATTGCTAGTTGATGCAGGTGGCCCCAACCCACTGGAGGCCATGCCATCCCTGGAGCAGGTAGTCCTGAGCTGTAGAAGAAAGTTAGCTGAATTAAACAGTACTCTTCCGTGGTCTATGCTCTTGTTCCTGCCTCCAGGTTCTTGCTGAGCTCCTGTCCTGGTTTCCCTTGAGGACAGACTATAACTTGTATGCTGAAACAAACTTTTTCTTTCCTGAGTTTGATGATGGTTTTTAGTCAAAGCAATGGGAAAAAAATCAAATTAAAACAGAGACAAAAACTATATCTTACCTGTCTGCAAAGACATTAATAGGATACTCCAGAGACGAGGTATGAGCAGTCCATAAGTGCTCCAAAAGGCCATCAAAGTCACTAGAAGGCAGCTGCATGTACTAAGGTATAGAGGAAAAAACATCATGTGGGCAACTATCCCTCAGATTCTACCAGGCTCAGAGATGTGAGCAACAGTCAGTATGAACTGAAAATGCTGCTATTACATGTCACGCCTTAGTGCCTAACAGCAAAGGGGAAAACATCCAGTACTTTTTAGTAAAGCATATCATCTAGTTAAAGTGAACTTTAAGTATCTGCAAAATGTCCATGTTTTACACTGGACAGAACCATTGTCATTTTTTTTCTGTCAACATTATTAAAATTCTCATAAAATTTTCAAAGTGATAAAAAAGTTTAAAGATTAAATTGAATTATATCTAAAGCGATGAATTAACCATCCAAAGAACTAGCAAATATCTGTTTAAATCATTAATGATTAGCTTCTTCTATGCTTGATGAATGTATTCTATTTTGGTCATCGAATGGTTAGTTCAGAAAAACATATCACTGTTTAGTTCCACCTACATATGAGCAGTTATTAATTCAGTTTCAATAATTGGATAGACTAGTCTAAAACAAGCCTATAATCTTGATTCTTATACTATTTCACCAATGACCTAAATTCCCAATTACTCACATGCCTATTTACTCTCTTAAAGTGGCCTGCGTGGCCGCCATTTGTGGTATTTTTTTTACTTGCAGTGGGAACAGATGAATTTTGTGTTAGTACTGTATGAGAACAGTAGATTTCTAAGGCATGCACTGTATTTCTACACTGCTTCTGAGTAAAATATCTATTTATAATTTACATTTTAATATTAAGGAAAGTATATGATGCATTAAAAACAATCCTTCACAAAAAGACTTTCACAAAAAGCCTTGTCTCCGCGTGTCTGAGGAGTCTGGTATAAAATTGAAAAGAAGAACCTTAAAAAAAGCAGTCCACTTGTCCATTGTTTCACCGACGAGCTCTTGGCAGCCAGAAACACCATAACAAAACTTGGACTGATCCAGGGGTGGTGGTAAAATCGTGATTTGGTCTGATGATATCCCCAATATGCCAGAATCAACAGCAGCAAGGAAAGGTATCACACTCAAAAAATAATTCACATCTGTAAAAACAAAAGCCTCTTTAGCCCCACAGCCAGTGGCAAATGCCAGAGCACATTGTGAGGAAGCATACATAAGTTGTTAGGGAAAATTCACAGATAGCAAATGATGAAGAAAATGATCAAATAAAAAATATTGAGGAAAATCAACTTATATTTTAATAGTTCTATAATTGTGAATGTATATATATATATATATATATATGCACACACACACTGAAGTGCCATATTATAATATTTTTAAGAAAAATTTTAATGCATTTTTGATGGATTGGATAACACTCCTACTTAAAAGCATGAAATAAATAAGAGAAGAACAGCTGTCATATTGTTCACAGAAAGGTACAGAAGTTCCCAATAAGATTACATTGTTGATTTTAACTTTTTATAAATAATCAAGCATTGTTATGTATTCAGAAAATGCATATCTTATGATTCACAACTTAGTCTAATTTTTATACATCATCATCACTGAATCCTTTTATCCTGTTTCTCTAAAGCTGGAAGTTTTGTCTCACAGTCCAGTAAGCTTCTCAGGACTTCAAACTTTGCAGTTATAGAGAAGTCAGTCCAGCAGATTTAAATGTTTTAACTTAGTTAAGTAATTGGCTTGTACTCATTCTTATCACTCCAAATTACTAAGCCAATCAGATATCTAGAGCTGTTGACAAGTCTGTTTATGAGTTTTGAAAAGAATAACTCAAGCTAGCACAAGGGAAATACTTAGTGGTTCATACTACTTATGAGTCATGCCCCCAAAAAAGTACAACTTAATAGAATGTCATTTCTAATTATTTGCAAATTACTATAATGAATTTCTATGTAAATTAATTTCAAACCAAAACACATCGTGAAAGAATTAGAAAATATATTCAAGTTGCTTTTAGTATTGCAAACATAACTAAAGCCTTAGTTACAGATTGGCCAAATAAAGTATAATATTAGTCTGGCAAGTTTGTGAGTTTCAGTATTTAGCACTTTTTTCCCTAGTAAAACGGAAAAGCACTATTATCTTGGTTTCTCTTTTCAAAGATTCCATGTTCCCCTGGGGACCTGTCACGTCACTGACAGTGCTGGTCCCTAGAGCCCATGACCTTTGCAGTTCCTTGATTTAATCCTGTGAAAAGTCTGAATACATTCTCAAAAATCATGATTTGACTGGTCAGGCATGCCACATGTCACCAAGGCCACTGGCAGATGTTGAAGTAGACTCAATCTTGCAAACAGAGCAGAACTGTTTCAGTTTTGTCTCTGTCTCTACGATTGGGGTTTAAATGTGTTCTTTGAAGTAAAGGTACAAGTTTGCTAAAGTGAACCTACCAGCCCACCAACTGTCCACAGACACACACAGAGGGTCTCCAGGTTCATAGCCACAGTCTGTCCCTCCAGTGGGATCAACTAATCTACCTAGAGAACAAAGAATGCACAGTTGCATTTGTTTATTATACACATTTAAAATTGTTAAATATATGCATTTAATGAATTGGTACAAAATTTTGCAATTTACTGATATTCTACTTACCATCATTTTTATATTTTATTTCTCATCTCTCACCCAAATTATTTTCTGTTTTTCAACCATATCAAGGTTTTGACTTTCAATTTATAAGCTATAGGTAGTGTTACTTACATCACTTCACATTTCACTGCCTTTTCTAGCTGCTAATAAAAGTCATGGAAGCCACAGTCACTCCCAGAAAAGGAGGTTGGCTAAAGGTCAAACCAAACCTTAGGTCTACGTTTTCTAAATGACACGACCATGTGCGTGTCAGTTTGCACCTACTGTGAAGTGGAGATGACAATATTCGGTATCCATGAGATTTCTCCGTAAGTTAAGAGAAGTTATCAGAAGTATTTTACATGCTGACTGTCCCTTACATCAACATCGGAACATCAGAAAATAATCTTTCTTTTTCTCCCAAACTGACACCACTCCCCTTCTCCCTTCTTTCCTCGTCTATTTTCTTACTTGCTGAGCAATAAGTAAGCTGTGTAAGCTGGGCATTGGACACCGATCTCCTCATGCACTTCTTCTATCAGCCAGAAAGAACTATCCTTTCATAAATGACTATGTTGCCCCCAAACATCTTCCATGGATATACACTGAAAAGAGCTTGGTTCCCAAGGAGAGGCAACCGATGGCACAGATCACCATTAGCAAGGCATCACTTGTTTATAATTTCATGCGTATGGTCAGGCAATGGCAATTAGGACCCACAAGAAGGTCAATATAATCTGCCATCACTACTGTTTGTAAGGAATACCCCCTTGTGTGTTCATAGGAGCAGGAAGAAATGTGTAGTTAGCAGTGTGGTGGTAACTATTTTGAAAATACTCAACAAATGAGAGAAAGGATGGGTCTTTTTGCTTGGTCTCTATGCCTGTGTGTCACTGAAGTGTCTGGTAGAAACAACCAATTCACAGGGTAAGGAGTTGTGGTTAAGGACAACTAGGAATACAAGAACCAATGACTATGGGGAGATTAAACACTAAACACAAAGAATCAGTTTTCAAAGAGACGTGTGTGAGTGTCTTAGGATTACTAGTGTGGTGATGAAATACCACGATCCAAAGCAACTTGGAGAGGAAAGGATTTGGCTTATTTATATTGAATCACTATCCATGGATGGAAGAGAAGGTAGGAGCTCAAATTGTACTGGAACTTGGAGGCAGAGGCTAATGCAGAGGTCTTGGAGGAGTACTGCTTACTGGCTTACTCCCCATGGCTTGCGCAGCCTGCTTTCTTATAGAACCCAGGACCACCATCCCAGGAATGGCACCACCCACAGCGAGCTGGGCCCTTTCACATCAATCAGCAAACAAGAAAATGTCCTCCAAAGACTTGCCTATAGGTTGATCTTATGGAAGCATTTTCTCAACTGACATTCCCTCCTCTCAAATGTCTCTATCCTGTGTTAAGCTCACATAAAACTAGACAGCAATGTCAGATATGGGGATAATCCCATTTTCCTAATACTTCAGAATATATTGGTATTTAGGAGAAAAAAAGAGTCTTTCTTACCTGTTTTATACTGCCATCCAAACTGAAAAGGCAATCCCCACAAAAGATTTTGTTCATTTTCTGGACCATATCTTGCGAAATATGTGGCTGTCTGAGTCAGTAGGATTCTATACAACCCCATCCTATCAGTGAATACCCATGGGTTAATTATGTGTTTTCCATCCTCAAACCTGTAATCACTTAACTGTTCAGGGCTCTCTTCCCAGAGAGGAGGGTATGGGGTTGCTATACCAGAATCCTCTGCTACAGCAGCAGAAAGGCAGCCAACCAGTACCCAGACCCAGGAAGCCAGGACAACCATGGTGCCAACCTGGTTGGGAACTGAGAGCTTGTCCAGGCTTTTATTGGAGAGGGAAGGAGGAAGCCAGGATGTTTTCTTATCTTGTGCTTTAGAAGCATACTGTAATAATTTCTAAGCAGAGTGTTGATGGAGAGGAGATGGGCATCTTAGCAATTAGCATTAAAGATAATGGACTTTTGTCTTCTTTCCATCATTAGTACAGTGTATCAGAACCTGAACACAAGGTGAGGCTTGCCAGATTTTGGATAATGCCATTTGTTAATGAAAAAAATTCTTCTAGAACTCTTTCAGTTTACCTTATTATTACAAATTATATTATCAATAGCATTAGGATGCTTCCCTTCATAAAAATGTATTAACATAGTTCCTTGAATATACTGAATAATTAAAATGTGAAAATACTGATATTTATGTTTTGTTTTTATTTGATTTTGAAGACAGGGTTTCTCTGTGTAGCCCTGGCTGTCCTGGAACTTGTTTTGTGCTCTGTAGACCAGACTGGACTCAAACTCAGAGATCCAAGTGCCTCTGTCTCCAGAGTGCTGGGATTAAAGGCGTGTGCCACCAATTCTGTTTTCAATACTGACATTTATAATAATATGCAGAGATGTACTATAAAATACATCAGCCAGGCGGTGGTGGCGCATGCCTTTAGTCCCAGCACTCGGGAGGCAGAGGCAGGCGGATCTTTGTGAGTTTGAGGCTAGCCTGGTCTACAGAGCGAGATCCAGGAAAGGCGCAAAGCCACACAGAGAAACCCTGTCTCAAAAAACCAAAAAAAAAGACTATAAAATGCATCTGATCCAGTTATGGCATACCTTCACGTTTCCAGTAAAATGCTTAAAATATATCCAATTATCCCAATTAAATAAACAAAGCCAATTTGTTAAAAAATTAAAATGCTGCTAATTAATTTTCAATATCTATTCATTTTTCTCAGAATTTTATCTAATAACCTAAGTTTCTAGATTTCTAGCATCCCTCCTCAAAATAATAATAGTAATAATAATAATGATGATGATAATATGTAAACAAGTGTCAATCTCTAACACATAAGAAGAAAAGGCATCTAAAACTCCTGGGATATGTCCTTAAATTATGGATATAGGCATTTTACTTTACTTTCCTCAATATTGTGACTTTTATTATACATACAAAGGCCAAAATTCAGTATTGATCCTTAAACACATAGCCCTACTTTTGGGATTGTAGAAAGCCAGGCTGGGGTTATCTAAGGCCAGAAATCTATAGAGCTATGAACTATCCCTGAATTTAGAGGTCAGGAATACATGTAATTTTATTATATTCTTATAAAGAATTTAAGGACATTACTGATATTGGGGTTAAAATAGCTATCTGATGCTATACCCACTAGCCTAGTGTGTTTGGAGCCTGGTGTATGATCCTCAGCACTGAAGATGAGGGAAAGAGAACAGCAACGAAATTGAACAAATGCAAATGGTCATATCATACTCTTAAACGGATGGAACGTGATCAATAGGTCAGTCTGTAAAGTTAAATTATGCAAATAACTTTGTTATTAGCTAATTGTGACTTAGCAACTACCCTAGTTAGCTTTAACTGCCAACTTGACGGAGCCATCCGAAAACAATTCTTAATTAAGACATTGTCCAGATCATCAGTTCTATCTATGTTGTCACAAGTCACAGGGTTTCATTTTTTTCCTGCCTAATAGCATTCAATTGTGTGTGATGACTGTGTGTTCTTTATCTATTTATCAGCTGACGGACATGTAGGGAGTTTTCATGTATTGGGTATTGTGAATAGTGCCACAATAAACACAAAAGTATAGTGATCTCTTGGACAGATTGTCACTTTTTATGAACACAGGAGTGGACTATTGTTTCCATGATCATTTCTCAGTACTGCTGGACCTTACTTCTCATCTGCAGTCCTGTATATAATCTCTTATGCATGGACATTGTTTGCTAACTCCTCAAGTCATAGCAGTTGACTTTTTTTTTTCTTTTTCAAAGCCATTCTGTTTTGGTCCAGGTGTGTTTTTAACTTAAGAAAGAATCCGTGTTTTAATACAGATTGCTTCTACAATAGCTCTCCAATGATGTTGCTTGATCATTTTAAGTATAAAAAAATTTCTGTCAGCCGGGTGGTGGTGGCGCACGCCTTTAATCCCAGCACTTGGGAGGCAGAGGCCGGCAGATCTCTGTGAGTTTGAGGCCAGCCTGGGCTACCAAGTGAGTTCCAGGAAAGGTGCAAAGCTACACAGAGAAACCCTGTCTCGAAAAACCAAAAAGAAAAAAGAAAAAAGATTTCTGTCTTCACCGGGAGACTGGAATCCGCAAACAATGGCTGCTCTCATATGATACACCAATAAGACAACAATAAGAAGGAGCCAAACCCTCTCCTCTTTGTCGGTGAATGCTTCTCCATAAAGGCTTCGGTGAGAGGGAAAAGATTAGACACCATAAGGGCTGTTAGCAGAAGCTAGAAGTGTGCGGCCATCCTAACCCTGAAGGAGAACCCGTTCAGTGCGTGAATTGACTACCTTGTCTTTCTGACTTGTCTACCTGAGTAACTCAATCCTGTGTCACTTTGGATTTCAGGAGCAAGCAGGTCTGGTTGGTTGGAGCGATGATTCCAAACTACCCCTCATTTGGTAGCAACTTTCATATTGTTACTAAGAACTCACCCGGCAGATCGTAAGATAATGATCAACCAGAGAACAGCCTGAACAACATCATCAGTTATGCAAACAAGCAGCCTTTGCCTTTGCTCCTTCCTCGGGTAACCCTAAAATTACTGTTGCTGTGAGTAACACAGAGGGAAACTCTTCCTGCGTTTGCCACCATTTGTCCCTGAAACTGCATTTTAAGATCAGCGCTGAGCCTGGCCTTTAGGGATGCACAGAACCTTGGCCTAAGTCTGACAGTAATTTCATCATTCAGTTCTTACATTTAAATTTTCATTTGTCCCAAGTTCATTTTTATCGTAGTTGGGGTCTGTTTTTATCCTTCTGCATTCTCAGGTCCAATTTTCTCAGGGCCATTGATCACAATGATTGACCTTTCTCTAATGCATTGACATTGTACTGTGTCAAGAGCCAGTTGGCTACATATGCGTGTTTCTAACCCTCCTGTAGGTTGTTACGTCAAATTTGACTGGATTACTTAGTAGTGCTATGGAGATTTGGGGAATGCTCTAACTATCATGTTTCTTAAGGACTCTACAAAAGAACAATAAAACATCTTTCACCTCTAGACACCGCCCATTTCTTGCCTCTCTTCTTAGAATCATGGGAAAATCACTTTCAGAGTTTCTTTGGATTCTCACCAGGCACATTCTCAAGAATTGTCGTAAGTTTGATCCTGAAACCCAGAAGAGAAAGATTAATAATTGACTGTAGCACCAATTAGTCCTTTTATAGGCTTGGTGAGGAAGAAGAGTGGCCCAAAGATGGAGCCTTCAACCATAACACTCTGCTGAGCCGTTCCTCTTCTGTAGACGTCAAGGTAGTTGGTCTGAAATGACTCACTCACATTCAGACCTTCATGACAATCCACCAGGGGAGGAGACAATGTAAAGTAAGACTGAAAGGGATACCTTTAGTGCTTTAGACAACCTCTGCTTATGTCCCAAACCCACTTCCCAAAGGGCAAACAATGGGCTCAGGAGAAGTGACTTTTCTCACTTTCTGGAGCCCTAAGTCACCATAAAAATTCAATCAAGTCCAGTGAAGCAAGCAAGGAGTGGAGCTTCCAATCATCCACACACACCACATGCTTCAGCTCCTTCCTAAGGGACACTGTGGACCTTCAGACAAAGGCCACATTCCTTCAAAAATAGACCTTCACTAAAGCCAGGAGAAATTAGGAAGAATCTTTGAAGAACCATTCTATTTACTAGGAACTTTTCTATTTTAACATTTGCTTTTGTCTTATGAGGAAGGGTTTATTCTTAGTGCTTAACTTCTTGCTGATCTGCTGGAGAGGAACAGAGGGTCTGTGGGGAGTCTAGAAGACATGCAAATGAACTATTTGCTCAAAATCCTATTGACCCCAGTCCAGAGCACAGACCCTTCCAGAGCAGAAACCTACTACCTGAGATTAATTATTACACTCCCCGCCCGCACCGCGCGCTTAGCAAGGACCCATAGACATGAAGAGATGAGAGAGCCACCTCCTATGGTGAAAATTGAATTAAGAAGACAATCTTTAAACTACAATAAAATCAGAAAGATTAGTCAGATAACGGAGGAAAATTCTGCCCTATTTCTCAACCGGCTGATTTGAAATCTTTACAAAACTAAGGTTGCAAAATTAAGTTACCTCAGCTGGCCACTTTCTGCTATTGTTTATCTGTGACACATGGAACATTATTAACCTAAGTTTGCATAAACTCTAGACCCCTTTTTGCTTCCATTGGGGTTTTCTTCCACCTCAAAGATACAGAGATGTAAACTTTTAACTTTATTTTTACTTAAAATACATTCTGGTTTAATGTAATTTTGTCCTGTGTGGTCATGGTAACTATTTCCATGTAATTGGTTTTTATTATTATTATTATTATTATTATTATTATTATTATTATTATTCTGAGTCTCACACAGAAAACTCAAACAACTCCCTGGAATTCTTTTGAATAATGGTGACAAATCCTGTGGCCACTTCATTTGTGTAAAACTCAAACAACTCCCTGGAATTCTTTCGAATAATGGTGACAAATCCTGTGGCCACTTCATTTGTACATATTTTTTCCAATTTCATGCAAAATTTATTTATTATTAGCATGCCTACTTTCAGGTGTATGTGTGTATGGTGATATTTTATTTGTATTAAAATGTTATTTGTATGTTAATAAATAAAGTTTCCCAGGGGTCAGAGCTATTAGCAAGCCATAGGAAAGCAGGGCAGTGGTGGCATACTCTTGTAATCCCTGCACTTGGTAGGCAGAGCTAGGTAAGTCTCTGTGTTCAGGGATACAGCCAGTATTGGATACACATGTCTTTAATCTTAATACCAATCATAGAAAACCTGGAGGTCTATACAGACAGGCTGTGATGAGGCGGTCATGTGGTTGGGTTTGCAACCAATGAGAAGGCAGAACAGGAACTCTATATAAAGATTTTAACACAGGGGTAGCTCTGGTTCGGAGAGGTAGGACCACCACAGGAGGAAGGGTAAGGTTTTAGCTCTTAGCTCTGACCTCTTGGCTTTCTTCTTTGCATTGGTTCTGTGTTTCTTATTTAATAAGAAGGTTGATTACATTTACGTGTGTGTGTGGCAGGGTAAACATTCAGGGTGGCTTTAACTTGCTGTGTGTGTGATATTAATATATGAGGAGCTTGCCTTTTGGCTTGTGTACTATACTCTCCTCATCCAAAAAACAGATTTTTTCAAGGTTCTTATCTTAATCAGTTTGAAAAAGAAAAAAAATGGTCATTTTGAAACCATGCAGTGGCTTCCTGAAAACAGTTTATGCCTTTATCTATGCTGAGATTAGCTTCCATGTCCTTGAGATTAAAGTTTTCTACTTTGTTTTTTTAGGAGTCACATCTTTGGAAGCACAGATTTATGATTAAGGATTAAGGCAATGGAGG